TTCTGGTTCATCCACTCATTGTTATTATTATTATTGGGAAGAAGAATAAGATTGGAGAGGTTAAGGAGGAGGAGGAAGGTGGAGAGAGAAGGGGGGATTTGTCATTGGTCTTGCTGGTGTACGTCTTCTTCTTCTTCTCCTTCTTCTTCTTCTTCTTCTTCTTCTTCTTCTTCTTTCCCTCTTCTCTGGTCTCTATCTCTGTGCGAGTGCTTTCATTTCTTTCGCAATTGGGTGGCATTGTCTTTCATTGTGAATTTGCACTTTGGGAATGACCAGGATCGTAACAATTGGTATCGGAGYGGACTTACTTGCTGGCGAGAGGTGTTAGTCACCCTAAACCTAATTCCGAATTAGGTTAGGGCTAACCTAATCTCCGATTAGGGTTGGGAAGTTAGGGTTAAGAGGAGCAGTGAGGTATGTGGATACTGCCCCCACCTGGTTAGGTCATGTAGGGTCGACATCAGACGTGACCAGGTTGCTTGTGTGATTGGATGGGGTGGCGAGACACAAAGGAGGCTGATTGGAGTAAGCGAGAGGGAGTAGAGAGTGAGAGGAACTCGCATTTGGAATCTGCACTTCAAGAAGACATTGAGTGACTTTTGGGCTTCCCCTCAAGAGGGAGACTTGATCGGAGGCTGCCATATTTGAATCGAAGAGCTGCGAGTTGCTACTTTGGTCTTCAGACATCGACGGGGGATCCGGCGTTGTAACAGGGGTGTAGGGAGGCCCGTTATCCATCTTGGAGGCCGGGCCTCACAGGTAACTGCCGTGTGACCTGGTTATGCTGGTAGGAGGTTGTTTGGTGCTTCATGGCCTGTTGGGGTGTGCTGGGCTCTCTTCCTCTTCTCTGCGGTCTTGGTTGTGTGTGTGAGCATGTGGATTGCTTTCTCACCTGATGGATGGATGAATGATGTATCTTGTTCTCAATGACATATCTTTTTACTGTGCATTGTCTTTTCATTTCTGAACGGCTGTAGGGGTAAGTTCTTGCTGAAAGTTGTCTTTTCCTTTTCAGTACGGTAGAGGCAGTTTGGGATTGACTTGGTACACCTATCTCGTTGGTCCTGGTCCACGACCTACTTGGGACCTTTGGGACTCAGTGGGACCAGGCCCAACGGGACAGGACCTTTAGGGCCCAAATCTGTTGCCGTCAATGCATCGCTTTGTTGTGCTGAATTTGGGGGACATACGGCTAGTAAGGGCATTCCTTTCAAGGCGATCTTGACTAATATGACTGCATGTTCTCACATATTGCCCCGTGTCTGGCTCGGTGACCGTCTGCACCCCTCAAAATCTCCATTGCTGCAGTAAGTTTCTTCGGCTGGCCTATTGTGGTACATGCTCCTTGTCAGATTAGACAAGAGGGGATCTCCAACTAATCTGATCGGGCCCGTTCGATAAGTTAGTCTTCTCTTTCGTTTTTCTTAATTATTTAATTATTTATCTTTATTCTGATGCGTGAATGCCATGCTCTAAGTCCAAATGAATTGCCGCTCTGGCTAGGAGTTCTACGTTCTACTCTTTGTGATTCACTGTTTTTCTTTTATTTGAACTGTCTATGTCTGGCATTGAGACGCGTGCACAGAAAGTGGAAAGAGAGAGAAGGGAGAGAGGTGTTCTTTTTGAGAGTGTGAGGAGGGGTAAGAGGAGTGTTCGTCCAAAAGTGAGCAAAGTGCAGACTCCTCTTGAGAGATCTTCTGACGCCCTATCCTCCAGCACGGCAGACATCACATCTGAGCAATGGAAGGCCATGCTGGACGCAGCGGTCTAGAACGAGAAACCTTTCTTTCATAAACTTTATGAGGACGCAATGCAAAGAGAGAGGGAGGTAGAGGCAGCATCCAAAGCCACAAGTATTTCTAAACAAGTGGCCCTCCTCGAGGTTTCGGAATCGAATGATGACTGGTTCCAAGAGAAGCTAGTTGCTGTCGTAGCAGCCTTGGTTCAGCTGGGGACCTTGGAAGATATAGAGTCCCGTGTGACAGCTCTGGAGCAGCGGAACCAAGAGCTGCAGGATGAGATAGTCAGCCTCAAACAGTCCCAATTGTCTGCCCCCCGTCCTCCTAATCCTCGACCTGCTGCAGTCCCAGTCTCTCACCCTAACACAGTCCTCATGATGAGAGCTAGTGGAACTGTGACCAGCGCAGGAACCGGTGCCAGCTCCTCAAGCGGCAGCGCCGACAGTTCTGCACTGGTCCTAGTTCCAAATGCAGGAACATCAGCCCAAAACGCCGCAGTTCTTATAGGCGTACAATACAGTGGTCCCGTAGTGGACAAGAGGGCGGCCACTCTGCCGCCCAAGTACGATGGGAAAGGGGACATCACCTCTTGGATTAGCTCCATGCCCTCATACTTCGGGGTACTGCGAACACCGCAGGAAAACCGAAGCATGATCATAGGCACAAATACTGAGCCCGCGTACGGAGTGTCATAGAACTCCAAGTTGTTACTGCAGGTTATGAGAGAATTGATCTGACTGAGTGGTTGAAAGTAACTCCTGTACGTACTCTTGAGGACCTCCTCATCACGCAGTATCAAGATAAGCACGTTGCACTCAAGGCAAGGCTAAATCTCGAGCCCCTCAAGGGCCAAAAGTGGAGGACTTCCATGCAGGCTTCGGAGCAGCACTTGACTGGTCTGTTCACCACTCCAAACCTGGGATGGACTGACGTGTCTTGCATGGATGTGGTTATGGGAGTGTTCCCTGAAGGATATGTCTCTCGGCTAGGACTCAAAGACGATACGACTTGGCGAGAGCTACTGACGGATCTAGTCAATCTAGAAGCCAAGGACCTCGCTAGGCGTGCAAAGGCACCCGCTGCAGGTAAAACCTCGCAACGCAAGCGGTACAGACGCAGCAATCAGCTTGCCCTGCATGAATATCGGGAGGCTGAGGATCAGTCCTATGCGGATGATCAGTCTCTAGATGACGATCTAGAGCCGGACTCCGACGTGGGCTGTTCTACATCAGCCCTAGAGTCTGACATGAATACTGAAGAAAAATGCAATGCCTTTAAAAAAATTGCTTCAAGAAAGGGGCCTAACCGTGGTTCGGGTAAAGGGACTATAGCACACCTCCCCAAAAATGCAAAGATCCACGAAAAACCGGAGGATGCTTCTACCAAGCCTTGGGAAACCCTCCGCATTTGTCAAAAGGAATGGGACAGAAGGTCCAAACTGCGTGTGCGCTTGCATTGTCAAAAGCCTGGGCACGCTATGCAGGACTGTTATCGTCTCCAGGGAAACAGGCAAAGGGCGTAGAAGAGTCATCAGCACTCTCTACAACAAGGGAAGTTGAATAGTCAGTTGCAGGCCCCTCCAAGGAGCCTGGATCTGATCAACAACTTGCTCTTGAAGCCCGAACTGATGCTGACTCCAAGGTTGCTGCAGTTCAAGTACTTTACAGTGAGCCTTGGGAGGAGACTAAGGAAGTCAACTTCCACTCTCACCTGGAACATTGGCTGCAGCTCAAGCAGCAACGCCGTGTTCAAGGGAGTGTGGAACTGATCTTCTTTAAGGTGCTCATTAACCGCCGATACATCCGTGTGCTGATTGATAATGGCTCAACGACTAACTTATTTTGTCGTAACGGCACATGCTGTCAAAGGTGTGCGTGTCACTTTTGACAAGGATCGCAGTGTCACACATGAGCTGAACTTTTATGTCATGGACAAGTGTCCTTTCGACGCGGTCATTGGCTTGGGCTGGTTAAAGGCTCATTGTCTAAGGACCACGTGGGCGGATAATTAGTCCGTGGTGCATGATGCCAAGGGGAACGAGCTTACCGTTCTATTGGGCGAGACGCGCGAGTACCCTGTGATTCTTTTGAGTGCAAACAAATTGTGCAAATCAGTGCGCAGGTGCAAGGAAGCTGAGCATGTGCATGTAACTCTTGTAAAGCCTCTCCATGTGCCTTCTACTTTTGCTGCATTTTCTACCTCGGAAAATAATTCTACTTCTACTACCTCTAATTCTGTTCCATCTACTTCTACTGTAAATAATCAGTCCACTTCTCATCCAAGTACTTCGAATTCGGTTGTAATTGCTGTAAATTCTCAATCTGATTTTTTCTCTCTTGATGAGGATGATCCTCCACCGGAAGTCCCAACAAACATTCGTCGTCTATTAGATCGATTTCCAGAAGTTCTGGCTGAGCCTCGTGGAGTTCCCGAGCGTCCGGTCAAACACAAGATCGAGATAATAGAAGGGAGTGTTCCTCCAAAGGGTTGCGTCTATCGTATGGGACAAGGCGAGTTGGAAGAGTTGAGGAGACAAATTGAGGACATGATTGATCGTGGATGGATTAGGCCTAGCGAGTCTGAGTTCGGTGCACCTGTCCTGTTTGTGCCGAAGAAAGGAGGCAAACTCCGGATGTGTATTGACTATTGTGGCCTAAACCGTATCACCCAAAAAAACGCTTATCCCTTGCCGCACATAGATGATCTGCTAGATGTTGCAGGTGGGTGCAAGGTCTTCTCCAAGATCGACCTCAAATCTGGCTACCACCAGATTGAAGTTAATCCGAGCGTCCAACACGAAACTGCATTCAAAACACGTGATGGGCTGTACGAATTCATCATTATGCCCTTCGGTCTTACGAATGCACCAGCCACATTTGAGTGCCTCATGGACAAGGTTCTCCGCCATCAGCTCAACAGGTTTGTTGTTGTTTACCTCGACGACATCCTGATTTTCAGCAAGTCTATGGAAGAGCACGACAAACACCTTGAGGAGGTTTTGCAGATCCTCAAGGAGGCACAACTGCACCTCAACTTAGAGAAATCTGAGTTTGGAAGGGACAACGTCATCTATCTTGGGCACCGGTTGTCTGCAAATGGCCTCGAGCCGGAGGCAACCAATGTTGAGGTCATACGAAAGTGGCCTCAACTGGTGAACGTATGCGAACTACGTTCTTTTCTTGGTTTGGCCTCGTATTATCGGAAGTTTGTGCCCAAATTCTCTGTTATTGCTCATCCACTCTCGAGACTAACAAGCAAGAATGTTGCCTATGCGTGGTGTGAGAAATGTGAGACTGTGTTCCAAGCCTTGAAAGAGGCTTTGGTAAGTCATCCTGTGCTCTGCATTGCGGATCCCAACCTGACGTTCGTGGTCACTACAAACGTGAGCCAGTATGGGATTGGTGCAGTGCTGCAACAAGATGATGGCGATGGCCTGCGTCCGCTCGAATATTACAGCAACGCATGCCCAACCACAAGGTAGCTACCTCCACATATATGCGTGAGCTCTATGCTTTGCGAGAAACGCTCACACATTGGAAGCACTACCTCTTGGGGCGTCACTTCAAGGTCTACTCAGATCATCAGACCTTGCGGTGGATTAAAACCCAAACTAATCTCTCTCCAACACTGACCCGCAGGCTGCATGACATTGATGTTTACAACTTCGAACTGAAGCATAAGAAAGGTTGTTATAATCATGTTGCTGACGCTTTGTCACGTCATCTTGAGTTTTTGACTTGCCTTGTGAGCTCGTATGACCTTCGAAGAAAACTGAAGGAGGATCTGGTCGAACACACTGCCAAGGGTTCGAACCTTAATCCCATCGTTGCGCAGCTCAAGGCTGACCCCAACAGTCAGCCTGATTTTCACGAGTGTGAGGGTCTTGTATTTCGCCGGTATGGGAAGTTTGATCGGTTGTGTGTACCCAACCATGCGCCTCTCCGGACTCATTTCTTGGATCTGGCACATGGTCGGAGTGGACACTTTGGCTTTGAGAAGACTTATGGAAGTCTTTTGCAGCAGTTTGATTGGCCAGGAATGAAGGGATCTTCTCAGAAATTTATTGCTGCATGTCAAGTCTATCAAAGAACCAAGGTCCATAGGCATAAGCCTTATGGCTTGTTGAAACCCCTCCCAATCCCTGATGGGCCTGGTGAGTCGGTCTCTATCGATTTCACGGACATGGGGAAGGTGAGCGAAGGAGGACATTCGCAAGTCATGGTCATTGTGGATCGTTTTTCCAAATTTCTGAATTTGATTCCTCTACCTCCGCATGAACTAACTAAGGTTGTGATCGAAGAATTCCACCAGCAGTACATTTTGCAGTATGGACCCCCGGAAACTCTTGTGAGTGATTGAGACAGCAGGTTCATTATTGCCGATTGGAAGGACTTCACTTCACAGATCTACGACATTAAACTCGACAAGACTTCTGGTCGACAACCCGAAGCCAATGGATTGGCTGAGGAAATCAACCAGACTGTCATTCAATTACTGCGCGCGTTAATTGTTCCAGATTTGAACACGTGGGACAAGGAGTTGCACAAAGTGAAGGGGTTGTACAACAACTCCATTCACTCCGCAATTGGCGTGACACCGAATCAACTGCAATATGGTTGGCAGCTGCGCAATCCTCTCTCCTATTTGTTCCCCGAACGGTCCCCTGGTCTAACGTCCGGCATGCCTGGCTACAATGCCAAGTATGCATGCCTGCGCAAAGCTGCTATCGCAGCAATGAACAAGCGTCAGTATGCCATGATCAAACATGCTAACAAGTGGCGCAAAGAAGGGAACTTCAAAGTAGGGAGTTATGTCTGGGTCAAAATGTCGGAGTTTTCTGACGAAGAGGGCGCATCACGAAAGCTTCTTCCATTGTACTATGGCCCTTGGCAGGTTCTAAAGGTGATTGGGGATGATTTTGGTCCTTCGTATGTGATTGACGTGCCTCCTCATCTGCGCACATATCCGGTCTTTCACGCGTCCAAACTGTTTCCACACATCGATGACGAGACTTTTCCCTTCTGAGATCCTATGATACCTCGTCCTATCAACGGCGGCCATGAGATAGATAGAATTGTTTCCCATGAAGGAAGAGGGAGGAACAGACAGTACAAGGTTCACTTCCTCTATCACCCGTTGAACGAGTTTTTCTGGATAGACCGAAAAGAGCTGCTAAAGAATGCTCCACGCTTATGAATGACAGATCGCTGATGGACAGACTGCTAAGTTTTCTGCACAACTCACTCCTCACAGTCTTACTAAATATCTCTTTCTGATCTACGCCTACGAGAGC